GAGACAACTGAAGAAAATTTACTCCAGGTAACAAAAGTAAACTTTATAGCTATTGCTTCACAAGTAAATTAAAGGAAGTGCGGACTGTGAAATAACAGATGAAAGATAAGATGAAAACACAAACATCCTCCCTAAGTTAATGTTTTGCATTATTAACTTAAAGAATGAGTATTTTTTATCCAAACACTTCTGTGACTCAGTTTCAGTGTCATTGTTCTTTAAACTTTCTTTAGTTGAAAGTCAGGCAAGTGTGACAGCAAGTGACAACTGTCTTATCAATCAGCTGCTAATTCCTTTTCTATTTTCATTACTACTCAATGTAGGTATTTATGATAAAAGAGGCAAGTTTACACTTTGTATAAAAAAAGGATCTAGTTTTCATTAAACTTTGCTAGGTTATTCCCGATAATAAACTAAGTGGTGTTATCAACTGGACAGATTTACAAAAAGAATGAGATTAAAAATTATTCCTACATGAATATGTGACTAAACAGTTTTCCACATGTGAAAGTATGGTAACATAAAAACTTCACTACATTTTGTACAAACCCATTGACTCAGTCATATGTTAGTTAATTAAGTTTTCTTTTTTGTCTTCTCAGTAAGCAGCAGTGCAAGAATGAATATCAGAATAAATAAAATAAGAACATTAAGAATCGGCAACTCACTTAACTCCAAGTATTTTTCTATTTTTCATTATATATTAATTAAGAGCTAAGGACATAAAAATTTAGGTTAGATTGCTTACAAATTAGAATACTATTAGCATATTTTGAATTCCAATAACTCACTAGAGAAAGAAAAAATCACGTGTGGGAGCATTTCTATCTATTTTAAGCAACAGAAATCTCAAATGGCTTTTATTCTTATCCTGAAATGTAAGTGCTTTATTACTAATGGATACAGGTGATATGTATGGCCCAAAACCAATAAAATTATGAGAAAATTGAGTCAGAGATAAAAATACATTTTGCATAATAAATAAGACATACCACTATTAATTTGGGGGAAGGATAAGGCAGATGAGTACTTTAAAAAAAAATCATTCTTCTGATGAACCAAATAAAATGTCACTATTTCTTTGCTTAGAAATGTTGAACATCATATAACATTAGCAGATTAAACTACTGTTCCTATAGCAAATGAAACAATTTTTGTTAAATGGTTATAAGTACATAGGACAGCTGTTGAGCTTTTAATATTTATTTTATAAGTAGCTACCTTACTGAGTGCTCTAATTTGGTCATGGCATTTTTATTTGATTTTCTTGGGTTTTAAGAAGTACTTATAAATATTGATGAACATATCACCTATAACTAATGATAATTTTTTTTCCTATTTGCCAGTTATGTCCCATTTGTTTTTCTTGTTAATACATAGGCTAGCATTTTCTAAAGAATAAAAAAGAGAATAGTAGTGACAACAGGTGATTTGATAACTCTTTAAAAGAATGCCTCCAACATATCACTATTAATTATGATGTTGCTAATGATCACTATTAATTATGATGTTGCTAATGGTTTGAATAATTTTTTCTTTTATTTTAGCTGAGCCATCCTGCTACCTGTTGGCAGCTCAGTGGCTGCTCAGCTCGGGCCGGGACTCGAACCGCTGTTGCTCAGAGCTCAAACTCTTGAGTGAGCTCTTAACCAACTGAGCCACTCGGCCGGCCCTTGAATAATTTTTATATTAAAAATGTTTTGAAAGACTCAATTTGCCAATATTTTATGAAAGATTTTTGTATCTACATCTATATTTACTAAATGCTTACAAAATGCTACTCACAATTCTAAACCTTTAAGTGTATTAAATAATGACAACTCTATAATGTAGGTATTCATTTTACATGAGGAAACTGAAACAGAAGAATTAAGTAACTTTTCAAGATTACACAGCTGGGAACATGGGTGAACATAAGAATAATTAGGAGTTTCTTATTATGTGCTATTTTTTACCAGATTTAGATATCAAGCTTATGTGCTTTTCATAAAATGAAATGTGAAGGTATCAATTTTAATGTGCTCTTGAAACGGTGTACATAGCACAGGAACTACATTTCCTGAAAACTTTGAACAATCACATCCATAATCCTATCTTAGTTTAAAACTGAGTTCTACTTAATTTAACATTACAATCTAGACCTATTTTTCTTTTGGTGTGTTTGCTTCTTATATTTTTGTCTATTGCTTGCATGGACTCTGGTGACATGGTTCACACACATTTAATGATTTTGGACAGGACCTCACCATTTCACATAGTAGCCTAGGGCCCACAAGTAACAGTCAAAGGGTAGAGGCTGGCCATGCCAGCAAAACTAACCATGTGATTTGTGGTGGGGGACCTTGGGTCATGTGGTATCAGTCAAACTGAAGATTGAGTTCACACAGGCAATAAATCATGCCTACGTAATGAAATGCCAATAAAAACTCTGAACATGGTACACATTTCAATATCACACACTGATACCAGAGGGTAATGTGTCTTGACTCCACAGAGAGTGGAAAATAAAAGCTTCACATTTAGAACCCTCCAAGACTCTGCCCTATGCATCTCTTCATTTGGCTAATTATAGTATATATTCTGTCCCTGTAATACAACATAACCATGATTAAAATAGCCTGCAATGAGATCTATGAGTCTTCTAGCAAATTATCAAGTCTGAGAGTGCTTTGGGGAACCCCCAAAACTTGCAGTCAGTGTCAGACGTGAGATGAATCTTGGAACTATGTCTGCAAACTTTGTATAATAGCTTGGCTAACTTAAGTATAGCTAAACTATATAAAGGAAAAAATAATGTACTTTCTTTTTAGAACAAAAACTCTAGCTGGTCATTTATTAATATACATTGTCACCATTAATTTTCTTAAACATGATTTTAGAAAAAGATAAGTTATAAGCAGATAGCAGTAATACACTAGTACAGTTAGAGACTAGGAGTGTATTATAACTGGCAGAGAAAGAAATGGTTTGCTAACTGTCCTTAATGGTTTGTCAGGTGTCCTTATTTAATGCATGTTGAAACTAGTTACATGTGTATCTCCTCTTCTAGATACTGAGCATATTATTTACTCTGATATCACCTTACCTTCACTTAGGCCTTGACAGATACTCAATATTTGTCCAACTCAATTAAATCTACATAATGGAATTTAAAGAGTTTCAGAAAGGTCTCTCAGGCCAAAAAGATATTCTCCAGTGATCTGTCAAAGAGTTAAAATTCCACCACTCACTTAATTTTATCCCAATATCTCCAAAAGTCCACTGGCAGTAAGTGAAAATCACTAGAAATAACACTTAGCACTTTAAAAACAGGTTCATTTAGATTATCAGATTATTTTCAAATTTAGCAGCTTGAAAAACTTTGAAATGTATAATAGTAAGCACCAGGCATGTTTAATGGAAAAAGAATTTAAAAAGCTAGATCTACAGCAGGGCAAAGTACTAAATTTGACGATGCATTGGTGGATATGGTTGTGCAGGCTGAGGGAAGCAAAGTGACAGAAATGCAATAACACAAAAGCATTGAATGCCAAAAGAGGAAAGGAATAATAAATGGACATAATGTGAGAAAATTCAAGACAACTGATGAATATGACAATTTTAAGACTCACTCTCATGAAAATCAAATAGTTCATATACCTAATGCAATCTATCAATGCGACAGTCCCAGTGCTATGGTTGCATTACTGCACGACTTTCTCTATGTCCTCATTATACAGACGGTCTCAATAAAAGGTCCAAGTTTAAAACTGAATTCTTAAATTTTTGTACATCTGTTTCATCACTCTTTACTCCTCTTTACCTCTTCCTAGAATGTTTAAGATGTTCTACAGGGTCTGTGATTTTTTAACTTTGATTTCAATGGAATTTATCACAGAAAAATATTTTAAAATGTATGAAAAAATAAAGAGGAAATCTTAATGTTCAATCTATATACCCAATAATTGTTTTAAAAGGTCAGCTTTGATCATTTCTAAATTATTTCTATTGGTATTGAAAAGGAAAAAGATGGATAAGCAATATGATTTTTATCAAACTGTATCCTTTATAAAGGTTAAATGAACGCTCATATATTGGGTCGTCGGAAAAGTCATGACGCATTTTTGCAACGAGAAACATAGAAAAATACGTCATGGTTTTTCTGACAACCCAATAGTATAGAGGAAGTTAAACAGTATAACTTTGTATAGGTTAAAGAACATAAAAACTGTTCAAGTTACTATTATAACATTATTAACAGGTAAAAAGTTATATCTTAAATTGCTTTAGAAGGGAACAAGGAAAACAACTATAAAAAGTGTATTTATTTAAAGTATCAAGGCTTCATTTTGATGATTATTCTATTCTGGACCTCAGTCTGAAATTTGTATGTAACTTTTTAAAAGTCTATCCTTAACTGACCATTATCTTTCATCTCTATTTCAGAAAATTCTACCTTTAATTTCTAGTATCTTTCACCCATAAGTATTCCTAAATATTAGCAAATATAAGATGAGCAAAAATATGTGCTATATATAAAATATGTACTACATATAAAAATATGACTTTAAGATTCTAAAATATTGTTGCAGGATGAGAAAGACTAAACTCCAAATCACCTACCTAAGGTTCAATACAGACTTTTAGAACAAGAAAATTTCAGACTTATTAAACTTAATATTCTTTTGGGATTAGTTCCTGTATAGTATAAAAATAATAATTAGAAAAAAAACTATGATACCCTAAAGTAAAATATATACTATATAGAATAATGGTATAAATACTCATCAAAGGACAATAAAACACTAAAGAAGTTGGTAAAAGATTAATAATACTTCAGAGAAGGGAAAATAAAAAGAGAAAATAATTTTCTTGTAAGAGCTGGGGGATGGGTTTGAGGAGAGAGGGAGAACCAGACAGAAAAGGATGACTTTATTAAGTTCCTGAAATAAGCTCAAAATGCAAGAATTGGTGCTATTTTTTTAAGGCGAATAATTTTCTTATACACTTAAATTGTTTACCTCATTTTCTGTTCCCACATCCAGAGTGACAGGAAGGCATTCTTGAGGATTCATCCCTCCACAAGCTGTGTACAGAGCCAATTTACCCACAGGGATGCCCATTCCATTACAGCCAAGGTCTCCCAAGCCAAGAATACGCTCTCCATCAGTCACCACAATAGCCTAGAAAAAAAAGAAAATATATCTATTAATAGATGTTTACAAATCCTGCGGCACAGCTCCTGGTCTCTATTTCTGAAGTTAATACTTATGTAATGAAATACACAACTGTCAAAAAATATAAATTGAATATATGTGGAAAAGAATTTATATGGTCGTACATGTGGAAGAGTAGGGAGAATAAATAAATTTGATATATACGTTTTATATTTTGTTAAAAATACACATATATGATTAATTTGGTTGTTGAAAGAAGAGAGGCTATGCACATAAAGAGTCAACCAACCCAAATAACTCAGTCTTCAATCAACAAGGACAGTAGGAAGAGTATATGGAAATAAAAACTCAATCTGGGAACCAAAGTGAAACAGAACAGCTTTAAAATTAATCACATCCACTTTGAGGAAAATTACAGAAGTGTCCATAGTTAAGTAATGCATAATAGCTGAGTAGCCCACAAATGTTCTGATCTTCGGTTTATGCATCCTGGTGCCATCTGCCTATTTCCACAACCATGTTGACCCATCCTCTTTAATTTCGAAAAACACTTTCTATTGTTCTACCATCTTGGAAATATGCCAAGTGCAGTCTGCTACTTCTCTTACCTAGTAATCTTTCACTAGACTTAATGAATTTTGCTTAGCTTATTTCTAATTACCTTAAATATCTATAAAGCATATATTTTAACCATGTAGAGATTTTAATTTTATGTAATTTAATATCTTTATTAAAATTAATGTATCTAACATCTTTATTCTGTGATTCATGGTCATTATGTGAATGTAAGCAAAACCAAGCTTGTGAAACACAAATTAGATTTTCTATATATTTCACTTATATGTGGAATAAACAAACAAAACAGAAACAAAGTCATAGATACAGAGAACATTTTGATGGTTACCAGATGAGAGAAGGGTTGGGGGGATGGGTAAAAATGGGAGGAGATTAGGATGTACAATTGCCACTTATAAAAAACAATCACAGGGATACAGGGCTCAGCATAGGGAATATAGTCAATAATATTGCAATAACTGGTGTCAGATGGGTACTAGACTTAACAGGGTGATCACTTTGTAAGTTACATAGTCTAATCACTATGCTGCACACCTGAAACTAATACAATAGTGTATGTTAAGTATAAATAAAAAAATTTTTAAATTAAGAAAAATAAAGCAGTTGAATGTTTTCAGTATAATAATTAAGTCAAAACAGCAGAATTATCTCAGTAAGACAACCACAATTCTATCAATGATGTCTGTGTTCAGAAATTAAATCTTCATCCTACTGTATCAATTATTACTTGGGAATTACCTGAATAAAAACATTCTGTATAAAATACGCAGGGGTTCTCGTTCTCTCTCTCTCTCTCTCTCTCTCTCTCTCTCTCTCTCTCTCTCTC